GCTATCATATACAAATGCCTGAAAAAAAAAAAAAATAAAAAAAAATAAAAATATAAATAAAAAAAAAAAAGAATATAAAATCTCATGACATTTTCTTAAAAGGACTCTTGCAATGATTCCAAACATTTCTACCCACTCACAGACAAGGAAAAGCCCAAGTTTTTTAAAAGATTTGTATTATGTCATACAAACTGTCTTCATATACAAGTGCATTAAGTGAAAAATTTCTCTCTCCCCGCCCCCTCCCCAAACATCACAGTAGACCAATTCTTACTAATATACCACAATGTTAAAACATATGTCCCCCCTGAATTCTAAACAGCTAATTCTAGACAGTAACATCTGAATCTTATAATTTACTCATCTGGTATGGACATGAATAGTTCCAGTGCCTTTCAACTTGTCCCTGAATTTTTCTCTCTTCAAAGTTCCAGACAGTAATTAATTTTAATGCCTTAAAATTGGATAAAGCTGATTATTTAGAGCTTATAAATTACCTGCACTATAGGATCACTAAGAACAGAACTATGACTTATACACATTATACCTCTCAAACTACCTAGCACCACGAATAGAATTCTCAATACTAATTGATGGACCAATTAATCCAATAATCTAATATATGACAGTGATGGTCTTAAAAACAGGAATTTGTTAGTTTTCTTATATACAATACAAATTCCCTTTTGTCTTACAGATCTTTCTTTCTGGCAATGTTCTCCACTGCCCTATTTTGAATAATTATACAGCTGTCAATTCCTTGCTTGATGCTAATAACAATTCCCTAGGTCATGAGTAATGAGAAGCTAAGGCATTAAACTAAAAGGCGCTAAACTAGTTTAAATGTGGTGAAATACTGTCATAACCGAATTGTATTATATTTCTTTTCTACTTTCATGCTTCAAAGTGCTATAGTTCCTGTGAGATTTTTGTCCTGTACAGAATAAATTCTGGGTCTTTCACTTTTGGATGGCTTGAGTACCATAAAACATACTGTATTTGGTAGCAAAAATGTTTCCAAGAGTTTCAAAGCGGACTACTATCCAGAGCTAAAAAAGTTGCAACAGTGACTTTTCTTTAAATCTAGAACATTTACTGTTAGTTTATAAAGAAAAACACAACAACCCTGTCCTACTGTTTCTACTAAAAATGGAAAAAAGTTGAGCTGAGCACTTTTAAGGAGGTGTTACACAAAGTCATGTTAGAGTTTCAAGTGGATACCAACATTGCTTCAGTGACACGTAACATTCAACACATAAATGTGTTACTCTCAGCACTTCTGTATTTACTGTCCACACATAATGAGTTCAGATAAAAAAATAGTTCTTGTCTTAAAATAGAGAACTCACCACCAACATTTAAAGCAGTTTCTTCCTAGGACTAGTTTCCCAACTATGCACACACAGGGAGCAAAGTGGTATTCTCTTAGGCTAAATTTTGTCAAGGCTCAGACAACCCTGAGGTGAACTTAAAATCTTCAGACAAGAAACTCAACCTATGTGAATTTTAAAGCTTCAAGATTAACTCAATAAACAGAAATACCACAGATTTTCTTAGAGCACTGAGTCCGGTGACTGACTATATGAGGCACATACACAATTTTACTCAAACTCCTGATGTCTCGTCCGTATGGAAAATGCAGTTGGTCTGACAAAGGCCCTAAAAAACATTTTGCCAAGTATAGCTCTTCTAAAGAGCACAGGGAAGGTAAGGGAAAGCACAAGGAAGTAATGTATACATTGGTATGCGCATCAGTGGGGGAAAAATAAACCTGTACAAGGCAATGACTGTCCTAACTAAGGATTTAGATTAAACGAGTTTAGTAATACAGTAGTGGTTCCCAAAATGTTTACCTTTGAGGGTTTTTTTTAAAGGGATAACCCTGAAAGGAAGAGTAAAATAACTTCCCAGGAGAAACCTTCATTGCATTTCATATGCTTCTGTCTTTTCACTCAACCCAGTGCACCTGAGTCAAATAGGCACCTCTCAGAAAAGCCAAGCTTGTACTGGAAACCCTGTTCTGATCCTACCTTTTTCTAGCCAAGTCCCTGCAAACATATGGCTCAATTTCCCCAAATCTCATCACTCCATAATCTGCAATGGGAGTTAGCCCCCCAGCTATCTGCTGAGCTTTAGCACTGAGCTCTTTAGCCCTGATTTCCCTACACGATTTTTGTTCTATCTCCAGGAAGCACAACGTGAATAAAAGACTGAGGTCCTTCTCTGGGATAGTCCCAGAGAAGTGAAGTTGAAGGATAATGTGGTATGCAAAAAATTCCCCTTGTGAAATTAGTCAAACACACACGGTATACATATTCTCCTGGGTACAAACAATTTACATTAATGTCAGCAATGGAACCCAAAACATTGGTAGACCAAATTCTAATGTGACAATTTAAAAGAAGATAGTGCTTCGCCAGGTTAATAAATCAGAATTGAGACAATACTTTAAATGCCACATCATTAAAAACTCCTAGTAGGCATGTCCCTCTTATCAGTTACTTTTAAAATAATGGTCATAACAGGAGAAAGAGCAAGCACCATGCTCACTGCTGGTTACTGGACTGCTTTGATTAAGCACTGCAGTTCACAGATAAACACTTCACATCTTCCCTTCAAGTTACTGAATCTTTCTTTTTCCGGAATGGTGATTTTAGCCTCTTCCATACACTGTTTTTAGGCTTTGATTTTTTCTCTATGGCCAGTACTGCCTCCTTTTCTTTTCTACGTATCTCCCGGACAAGGGCATGGAACACATCATCAATGTAGTAGCGGTATGCAGCAGATGTCTCAAAAAAGGGACAGCTGAATTCTCGGGCCAAAGCCAATCCTTCTTCCTTGGTGACCTTTAAAAGCATAAACATGAGAAAATTTATAGTGGTAACAGTGAAAAACAATTACAACTTTCCCAAAGAGTGAATGAACTACCTTAACAGAAAAAGAGCTCCTTGAGTGTGGAGGTGCTCAAGCAGATAGCAGTGATTTTTGTCATTCTGGGAGGTCGGATTATATGACTTCCAATAGCAAATTAGTAGATACAGAGAATTGTCAAGGTTAAAGAGAAGGTAATTTTTATTTTCTATTTTGAGACAAAAGAATCTGTAAACCAAGAAACAACAACGACTAATCCCACAAGATTATAGGTGGCATATTATTCTCCATCCTCACCTGTCTTAGCTCTTTTAGGTCAGACTTGTTTCCCACAAGAACCACAGGTGTATCATCAGTACGTCGAACTCGATAAATAAGCTGTTTAAACTCACGAACTTCATGGAAACTTCGACGATCAGTGATAGAATAACAGATGATAAACCCTTCTCCTGCCCTCATATACTGGTCTCGCATGGCTGTAAACTCTGCCTAGAGGGATACAAGAGTCATTAATGTATTGATGCAATCTAGAACTACACACACGTTAGCTATTTATTTCAGATAAAGAAGAGGTATGTTGATTACCTGCTATCCTGAGTCAGAGTGCATGAAAAATTAAGAGAGAAACTAGTGATCTTCTCTGCATAAGCCTTCCCCTCCCTTTTACTAGAGTAAAAATACTTTTACTCATAACATTCTGGGATTTAATACCTGTCCAGCTGTATCCAAAATGTCCAGATTGGCAGGCTCATCATCAATACGGATCCGGATCTTATAAGCATCTTCTACAGGAGAGAAGAAAAGTGTACTATAAACGCATAAATGCAGGAAGAAATACCTATTATAAAACTCATCTTATGGAGAAATAGAGTCCACCCAAGTCTAAGTAACTCAAATTTTCTCAGGATGCATGCTAAATCCATTTTAGACATATAAACTGAGTCTTGAACTACTGTTTTTTCACATAGGTGATGTTGTAATTATTCATAACCTAAAATTAGAAGAATTCATCTACAATTCTGAGCTAAAACAGGATTCTGAGAGGTTTTTTAAAAATTATTAGGCCAAAAAAGTAATTTTACCATTTATTAAACAGTTACTACCTGCCAGGCATTATCCTAAGTATTAATAATTTATATACATTAATTCGCTTAATAGTCACAATAATCTGACGAAACAGGCAATATTATCTTCATTTTACAGATAAAGAAAATTAAACTCTAAAACATTAATGTCTTCTCTAACTTGCAATTAATTAGTGATAGAACCAGGATTAAAACCCAAGGCTGGGCCGGAGCAGTGACTCCCACCTATTATCCTAGCACTTTGGGAGGCTGAGGCGGAAGGATCGCTTGAGGCCAGGAGTTCAAGACTACACTGAGCAAGAGCAAGACCCTCTCTACTAAAAATAGAAAAATAAGCCGGGTGTGGTAGGGGGCACCCATAGTTCCAGCTATTTGGCAGGGGGATCATTGAGCCCAGGAGTCTGAGGTTGCAGTGAGCTATGATAACACCACTGCACTCACTGTAGCCCAGGCAACAGAGCAAGACCCTGTCTCAAAAACAAACAAACAAAAAACCCAACCCCCCCTCAAAAAAAAACTAAAACAGGGCTGTTGGATCCAAAAGCCTTATATACTTAATCATATGCTATAGTTCCATTAAAATGTAATACTACAGAAAAAAGAAAAACCATAATTTACTTTACTATTTTCTAAATAATCCAGGTTGTCATAATTTCTCCTTTATGAAAGCAAATTTATTTTCTGTATATTACTAGAGTAACCTTGGACCGTAACAGAAAAAAAGAAAACCTACTAAATATTTCTATCACTCAAAAGCTGCTGCTTATATCTCAATATATTTCCTTTTAACATTTTTTCTTGAATTCTTGCTTCTGACTCTTCCTTAAAGATAAGAGCCCACTAAATCAATGTTTCTCAAATTACAGGTCATGATCCATTAGGATTTGTGTTGTGAAATCAATTTAAGTGGTTAGGACCAGCCTTAAAATAAATAAGCAGAAACCTAAATGAAAACAGAAATTATCAGAGTGCACCAGATATAAATGTAGTAAATACAGTTTCATGAATTTTAGTTACACATACATATGTGCTTTTGTGTATAATTTATACATGCATACATACATAACTTATACTTTCATTTTTTTTTTTTTTTTTTTTTTATGCAACAGACTGGCTTAATAACTTATACTTTCATACTGATATTTATACTGTTTATAATGTAAAATTTTTTCTTAGAATTTGCAGCCAAAGTTTGGAAACAAATGCACTAAATTGTAAACTCAATAGCAACAGACACTATATCTTTCTGCTCATCTCTGTACCCTAAAACTTACTGCTGTGCTTGGTACATAACAGGAACTCAAGAGAACTTATGAGTACCCGCTGTTGAATCACACAATATTGTCAGGAGAGTAGATAACTGGGGGGGAAAATGATTGATTAAAAAAAGTAACTCTTAGAGGGGACAGCTATTTTAGTTTTACTTTAAAGAAAGGAAAAGATGTTTCTGGAGTTCTCAAGTGAGTTATCCTAAGCCCTAACTGATTTTATTCTTAGAACTCCCACCACCATAGTTTGAATCCCTAAACAATGTTTCAAATTTTATATAGTACATGAAAAAAACAATAACTGTTTCTATTTTCCCCAGTCCCTGGAAGCATCTACTGTATAAAATGACCACATCCAAAGTTGGGCTACCACAGAACACTCATTGGCTTTGTGGAAAACAGAGCAGCAGAGGCCTGACCCAACAGAAATCCTTCCTAGAGACCTAGAATCATGGCAAAAAGTGTCACATACTGAAAATAACAGTAGTATGGCAGACCTTCTGTGCCCTTCCCCATCTCCATCCCTAACCCCATTTTCCTTTTCTTTTTCTTTTGGAGGCAGGCTCTCACTCATTGCCTAGGCTAGAGTGTAGTGTTATCATCATAGCTCATTGCAACCTCAAACTCCTGGGCTCAAGCAATCCTCCGGCCTCAGCCTCCCAAGTAGCTGGCACTACAGGTGCATATCACCATGCCTAGCTAATTTTTTAATTTCTTTGTAGAGACAGGGTCTTCCTATATTGCCCAGACTGATCTTGAACTCCTGGCCTCAAGCCATCCTCCTGACTTGGCCTCCCAAAGTGCTAAGAGTGTGAGCCACTGTGCCGCCTCCATTTTTCTAATAGGATATAATCTCTTAAAATTAAATCTCCTTCCTTATTGTTTAGGAATGACAGGAATGGGCCGGGCGTGGTGGCTCACACGTGTAATCCTAGCACTTTGGGAGGCTGAGGTTGGCGGATTGCTCGAGGTCAGGAGTTTGAAACCAGCCTGAGCAAGAGCAAGACCCCGTCTCTATTATAAATAGAAATAAATTAATTGGCCAGTTTTTTTTTTTGAGAACGAGTCTACTTTGTCTAGCTCCTGGTTAGAGTCGAGGTGCCGCTGGGTCAGCCTAGCTCGCAGCAACTCAGAACTCCTGGGCTCAAGCGAATCCCTGCTGCCCTCAGCCCTCTGGAGTAGCTGGGACGACAGGCATGCCTGCCACACATGCGCCCAGCTTATTTTTTCTGAATATATACTTAGTTGCCATTACATTTCTTCCTACTTTAAGTAGGAGAGCGGGGTTCTCGCTCTTGCTCAGGCTGGTTTCGAACTCCTGACCTCTGAGCAACTTGAGCAGTCCGCCTGCCTTGCCTCTCCAGAGCTGCTTAGGAAGTTACAGGTGTCGATCTGCTGTGCCCAGCCTCATCGCGCGGTTTGTCTTAGCCTCGAAAGTTAACTATTCCTCAATTACTACTTACTAGATTACATTAGAACATTATGGTTTATGGGGAGCCTGGGAGCCTGTTGGTAAGTACCAGAATGCTGTAATCGGGTCATCCCCACAATGTGGGACTGCCCGCTTACCACGATTTTATATAAGTTTCTGAAGAGGGATCCTATTTACATATTCCTTCTCGCATCCCTCACAGGCTCTTGACACAACGTGCTTAGTGCAACTGGAAGAGGTTTATAAATACTCTTGACTGTAGTAATTCCTTACCTATCTAACAGATTAATTAGAAACTGAAGGCACTCCTGCAGGACCTGCTGTTGTTCATAGTGGGACCAACTCTGATGTTTACTCTTCAAAAATGTTAAATGACAACAAAACATCCTCTTTAATGATCCGAACTAGGTTCTCCCTTCCACACACTCGGTGCCACTTAGAGCTAGTGGAGATAGAAGCAAGACCGTTCCATGTAAAAATTATCATTCCTCTCATCTTAGTATAGATACTTAAAGACACTTTTAAAACATACCCCTGATCAGGTGGCAATGTGCTATCATTTTCCACTGGTTGTTTTTCCTGTTTCCTGCACCAAGAGGAAATCTCTCTTTGATGGATTCCATGGCATGCTGCCTTAGCATTTCACAAAAGGTGTTCTACACACAATGACACTCCAATTCTTTCTTAAATCAATATTCTTTAAGAATATAAAATCTCATGCATTGTTCTTAAAAGGACTCTTGCAATGTTCCCAACACAGTTCTCTACCCACTCACGACAACCGGAAAGCCAATTTTCTTAAAAGATTTGTATTATGCTCATACAAACTGTCTTCATGATACAAGTGCAGATTAAGTGGAAAATTTCTCTCCTCCCCGCACCCCCCCCAAAATCACAGTACGACCGAATGTTCTTACTAATATGCACCAATGTTGAAAAACATATGTCCCCTGAATTCTAACAGCTAATTCTAGACAGTAAACATCTGAATCTATAATGTTACTCCATCTGGTGTGGACCATGATAGTTCCGTGCTCTTCAACTTGTCCCTCGAATTCTTTCTCTTCTCAAGTTCCGACGACAGTAATAATTTTATGCCTTACAAATTGGATAAGCTGATTATTTAGAGCTTATAAATTACCTGCACTATAGGATCACTACAGAACAGAACTAGTGACTTATACCACATTATACTCTCAACACCTAGCACCACGAATAGCATTCCTCAATCTATTGAACTGGACCAATTACATCCATATCTAATTCTGTACAGTGATGTCTTTAAAACAGGAATTTTTCGTTAGTTCTTATATACATACAATTCCTTTTGTCTTACAGATTCTTTCTTTCTGGCAATGTTCTCCACTGCCTACTTTTGACATAATTATACGCCTGTCAATTCCTTCTTGCATGGCTTACCATTCCGCTGGTACTGGGAAACACCCGAAGAGAACGCTCGGCATTCCAAACTAAGGCCTCAACTATTTAACATGTGGTGCAATACTGTCCTAACGAATTGTATTAAAAATAATTTCTTTCTACTTTCATGCTTCCAAAGTGCTATAGTTCTGCTGAGCATTTTTGTCTGTACAGTAATTCTGCGTCTTTCACTTTTGGTGGCTTGAGTACCATAAAACATCCTGTATTTGTAGCAAAATGTTTCCAAGAGTTCAAAGCGACTACTATCCAGAGCTAAAACAGTTGCAACAGTGACTTTTCTTTAACTAGAACATTTACTGTTAGTTTATAAAGAAAAACACAACAACCCTGTCCTACTGTTTCTACTAAAAATGGAAAGTTGAGCTGAGCACTTTAAGGAGGTGTTACACAAAGTCATGTTAGAGTTTCAAGTGGATACCAACATTGCTTCAGTGACACGTAACACTTCAACACATAAATGTTTACTCTCAGCACTTCTGTATTTCTGTCCACACATAATGAGTTCAGATAAAAAATAGTTCTTGTCTTAAAATAGAGAACTCACCACCAACATTTAAAGC